AACCTGCAGGATATGTCAGTCTGAGCATATAAAGTTCAAAGATATGCAAAGATTAGATAGTCAAAGATCAGGTTAGATCCGGTTCCACCAGGTTCCAGGCACTTTCATCAGCATCCACACAGGGGCTGAGGCACTCGTGAGAAAAGACTTCTCCGCAAGGTACGTGAGGCTGGCGGTGAATTGTCTGAAGGCGGGCAAACAAAAACTAAGGGTCTGATCTATTGCACGCATACATACGTACACATCGCATTCTGTATGTGTATATATATATATTGTAAGATTATATAAGATATGCAATTTTTACATGCTGTATCACCATGTGTATGTTGTATGCAGATAGTATTTGACAATATTATATACGAACATGCACAACAACATCCATTCTGCATCTGATCTGTATTTTTATCATTTCTTATCTATGTTCTTACTACATAGTTCTTATTAGTTCTTACTGCGATTGGATTAGGCCCCACTCTCTGCAAGAATGTTCACATCTCTTAGCAGAGCCAGGAAATCAGAGGCATGGCGGCATGATGCGGCATGTCCTTTCAAAGTTGCGCGAACTCTGCCCCTTGTCGTATTTGTCGCGCATAAATTGCATGAATCAAACTGGTTTAACGGCTTAGCCGTAGGTGTTGCGATATGGTGCGATTGATTCTGCTCCCAATCATCCCGCATTGGACCTCCGGACTCGTGCTACGGTCGAAACTGAGGATTTCTGCCTTAGCCGGAAACTATCCGGAAACTCCAGCAAATTCAAGACAAAAAGAATACAAAAAGGGCATCTGAAGCTCACTCAGTGGATTCTAAACATTTCTAAACAAGCCTCAGAAAGATTTCAGTTCTGGACATCAAAGAGAAGTATTGAAGAGGGTTGACTGCAATCCTGGAGAATCTGCGCAGAAAACCTGCATGAAAACTGTGCTGCGGCCCCTGCATGAGATCCAGAAGGCTGGCGCTTCTTGCGGCCAGCCTGACCAGTTTTGGCTCTGGCATGCTCTGGGGCAAACATCGCAAAACCCCAAAAGCCAAGCCACACCCACGTGGTCTGATCACAATGCTATGTAATTCAATGCATTCCAATGCGATCTAAATGTAATATAATGTAATCTGATTCTACACAGTTGCAACAAGGGTTCACCGCAATTGACCGGTCTGCTGACATGTTCACCGGTCTGCACATCAGCCCTTGTGCAGTGAAACCCGCGAAGAAATGTTGAAGGATTTCAAAGAAGCCTGACGGCTATCTTGCCGCGATGCGCTGCTCCTGTAACCCCAAGGCTTCCCAAAGCGGCTTCTGTGTGTCGCGACGAATGAAATCTGAAAAGGAACCTGAATGCTTAACTCAGGCTGGCTGACCTTTCAGTTTGGGTCCCTGGAAGCTGTACCCTCTGTATCCCTGCATGGACTTCGATAAACTATGAGAAAGTTCTGCTTTTTTTTTGTTTACACACACACACAAAACCCAGGGCGGTCCTCGACTGTCGATCCCTGGCCAAGAACACAGGTGGAACAACGGTGGAACGTATATACTGTGAGATGAAAGGCATCGATACTAGCACAATGTGGCTGTATGATTCTGCATGTGTCTGCACGTATTCATATTTCGCCTTTTTCGGCAGTTTGTTGCGTTTGTTGCGTTTGTTGCGTTTGTTGCGTTTGTTGCGTTTGTTGCGTTTGTTGCGTTTGTTGCGTTTGTTTGATTTCTGTTTCGTCCGCTTCTGTGAAGCCAACCACGAGCTCCACCTTGCCTGGTCGCCGGCCGCCCTTCAGATCGACGGTTGCCGTCGATCATCTGACACGTCCAGGGCAGTTTACGCACCCAGGTGCAGTGAATCTGAATGCAAATGATCTGTGAACCTGTCTGTTTGTACTATGTTCTACTAAATATCATTCAAATTCTAACAGAGTTGCTGCAATTCAAGGAGAACATATGTTTATTTTATTGTCATTGACCTATGTATATATATATATTATACATACTATATTATATATATATATAATATTATATAATATTATATATAACTATATATATATAATACAGTATTATACATCATATTGTATATAATTATATATAATACAGTATTATATATCATATTGTATATATATATATACGTATATCACTATATGACCGTATATGTATATCATTATTATTATTGATATATAAATGAAGTTTCCTTCCATTCAGTGGTGCTCATTTACCAATCTCCTGCCTGTTGCAGCCGTGCTCCGTCACGAGTGCTCGGCCGTAGGCCTTGGTTGTTTGCAAGCGCTAGGCAACATGGTATGACACATAATACATTAATATGAAATCATATGAAATCATATTAATATGTACATATGAGGCAATAATGAAGTAATACACTGAATTAGAATGGATCGAAGTCCTGACATGCGTGAGAGGGCGCACGTCTTTTCTTGTGATTCTTGCTAATGCTGGATGGTAACATATCTGGAATTCGGTGAAGCTACCAGTACCAAAAAATATAAAAAACAACATCGGACTCATCGGACATCCAGTGATATCCAGTGACATCCAGGGATTCTGGCCATCCAACGTCGAAGTCCCTCGGTCCAACGTGGGCCCATCACGGGTGACTGGTCGACTACCTTCCAAGCCACGCCTCAGTGCACCATCGATGTCTACTGGTTGTCTCATGATGTTAACTGATGTCTCATGATGTCTCGCTAAGACGTGACTTCAAGACGGCAGCCATGGCAGCCATGGTTCCCAGTCCTACTGAGTTATAGGGAGTTGTACTGAGTTGTACTGTGTATGTCATAATTACACATAATTAGTAATATAGATTACTTTTTTTATTACACCATATTACACACAGAAAATAACTGGAGAATGAAATGCGGACCACATGTCACCGACTTGCCCCTTTTTGTCTTGGAACACACACCATCTGCCAGCACCTTCTTGCGTGCAAGGCCGACCTTGGATTTCAAATATGACCAAACGCGCCAATAGCGTGCCTTGACATGAAATCTTTGAACTTAAACAGAACCGTGCTGTGCCTAATGCTCAGGTCAGTACCGTCCCTTGTGGCAGGCCGCCCGTCATAGCCATCCCGAGCACTTAAGCCTTGGCTACAAAGCGGCACGTGACAATCATTGCATGTTGTGGTGAGGACTTGCCCTCAAAGACTGTCGAGTCAAAGGAATCGCCAAAAATCGTGTTTCGACCTGTTTCATGTCCGTCCTAGGATCCTCCTCGTTCTGTCTTTGTGGATTTGTTTAAACAAATTTTCCTGATGGCCACTATTCCTCTCTCCAAGACCTTGCAACGAGCTCAACAATCAAATGCGACACTCACATGATCTTGTACTAGTAGAAGCAGAAGTATATTCCAGCGATTACGTGTATTTATGTGTATTTGCATGTGAAACTCCAATCCTCAAATGCCGTCGACAACTCGATCGAGCATTCTCATCTTCTTAGTTTTAAGATGTTTTAAGTTTTTGTGTCAGTCAAATTACTCATGTCCACTGTTCTCACCTTGCCTCAAGATCGAACTAACTGTTGCAAGAGGCAAACAATCTAATTTATCGACAAACACGAGAACTGTCAGACGATAAGTAGCATAAATCATTTGATTGTATACAAAGCTCGGAAAAGAAATCGCAACTTGACCAGAAATGTGTAGGACAAATCTACACACAGTTGTTTGGCAAAATAGATACCAAAGTGTTGGGGCAATGACATAGTCGGTGCTTCTTTCTGATTTCAAAATCTGAAAAACATGTCAGACAATCTGTTTAGCGCATGTATGCGCATGTCAATCATGTCAATCATGTCCCTCTTGTACGATCTTGTACGTCATAGTCATAGACCTAATGCAAACACCGAGCGCCCTGACACTCCATGAGACCAGGCCAGGCTCCACTGCCCTAAAAGCAAAGCATCATTTAAAAACAAGCAAAGCAGCAAGCACAAACGATGCAACGAAGTCTTTGTCCAACGTCAAAAACGTGAGGAAAAAATAGGATACTGGATACTAGATTTTCTTCGGAAAGACCGTATGATACTGCACTGCATTCGCCAATAAAACGCAATTACACAACTATATAACATTACATGCGTATGCAAAAGCACGGCACGGGAACAGATGCGGAAAGCTGAACATGTTGCAGCGAATGTTGAGACGGAAATGAGATGAAATGAGATTGTTCCGAATTGGCCTTTTGTTGGTTCCACAAAAATCCAACAGAATTTAGAGCAACGATGGCTCTGCGAGCACCATGCCAGCATCCAGCCTTGGGTGTGTGAGTTCCATCATCTGCGAAAGAACCTGCAACCGTCCCAAACTGAAAGCCCTACCGACATGATGAACATGAGAAGACAATCAAAGCGAAAGTGTTGGTTATGAATAGTTATGAATCACTGTGGATTTCGCGTAAAGCCCTGCAAACCACTAAAACACACAAATAGAACGCACCCACAATCTGCAGAGTTGCACATGTAAATATAAGACAAGCTTATGTGTCTATAGTGTATCAATGTGTATCACATGTACAATATATAGGAGCAAAGCGCACTGGCTTTACAAGACTAATTGTAAGGAACTCAATGATACGACAGATTATACTTATACGGTGGTATTCTGGCCGTAGGTGCCACAGTAAGGCCAGGAGACTTCTTGCTTTTTCATGCTGTTTCCCTCCCGCTGAACAGTGCCCCGCATGAAAATCGGAACTACATCAACAGCGACATGCTGTTCTGCGACAGGGATGGCAACATCTTTTATGGCAGTGGATGAAATTCCTAATGAATTTGAAATCTTTTGAGATCAACAGCCACCATTGATTCTCTGGTACCCTCCAATTGTTGTCTTGACACCGAACCCTCAGCATCCATTGGCTGGTCGGGTTCTTTGTCTCTTCAGGCCATGGCATAAAACTTTGCCACATGGTTTCGCATTCTTGTGCACAGGCACTATGTTGATTATTCTTTATCTAGTCCTGCAGATCTACATTTCTTTCATACTCTTTGATCTTTCATCAGCCTGAAATCTTTAAGATGCTTCAAGTGTGCGACCCTTGTGACAGCTCGGCGAAAATTGGAAACTGCGGCCATCTGTGGGTCCGCTGCCAGCTGTCTAGAGCTCTACAGATTTCCACAGGCTGAAAGGGAAGTGAAGAGGTTCATGGATGCTCAATCACTCGATGATTCGCTTCACAGAGTCATCAACCAGAATCCGGTAGACTGTATCCTGACAACTTGGCGTGACGAGTTTGCACCATACATCCCGCAACACTCTGGGTATGTCTTTCTTGAAGCATCTCGCTCAAGTACCCTACGTGAAAGCATCAAACTGCACAATATACGTCTTGAAATCCTATGTCGTTGCAGCAGGTCCTTTTGGCCAGCGCAGACTTCCTTCAATCGTTTGACGAGCTCTTTCCAAGTAGGATCGAACTGCACCATCCTAGCATTGTCACCAAAGCATAACAAAGGCATGCAGGAGTCCTGACAATACATGACACTTCAATGCATTTCACATTCTGTCGCTTACTACACGACAATGCCAGGGAAACATGGACAGAACAAGCAGAGAGCAACAAAAAAGAACAAGTCATCCTGGATGCAGAAATGAAAGCTCCGCCAGGACTCACAGGACGATGTTTGCATCACAATCTACGATCCAAAGCGTGACACGTGACAAGTCGGATCCGCGCCTCAAATAGCTCGAAGATTCGTTCCACATACGGAAAGTGATGTAGTGGAAGGGAGACTCTGACCAGTCAATAGCCTTTCATGAAAGTGTCCACCACTTGAAGAATCTCATCACATCCAATCACCAAAACCCAGAAAATAAACTCTACGCCATCTTGATCGTCTTGCACGCAGTCTGTCCAAAGATGACAAAACTAAAAACTTTGAACGATTTATCAACTGCTTTATCAATGTTTATCATGAGTCACAGTCATCTCCACCTGAGTAGTCTTCTTATCCTTGTCTTTCCTAGTTGACCAGTAGAATAGTATACCCTTGGCACACGCCTACGCCAAGCCTACACCATTGCATGAGGTGGCCTATGCAGGGTAACCTCGCCATGGTTTCTTTTGTGTCATGAACAGTTCCCTATATTTGCCTGAACGCATTGTAACCACAACCCACGCCGTTTGCATGGCGCCTACGCCCCCGCATAGTATGTTTGGTGGAGTTCTCTGTTGATCTAATTTCCTGCATCCGAAAAAAGAAACAACTATATACATAACTTGCATAACTAACATTGCTCATCTGGATCCGCAATGCCGGGACCATGCCGGGACCATAGACCATATATAATCCATATATACCATGTTGTATACCACGCCACAATGTGTATGTCATGCCGCCGCATATCTGCACAGTCGCCTTGAAGGTCTTTGTCCACTCGTAGCCGGGCTGACGCTGTGCTAGTCGAGCTTGATCGCTCCAGCTAGCCTCAAACTGCAGCGTAGCATCTGTACAGATTGTACAGATTGTACAGTAGTCTGTGCTACTTGGCACATCTTGGCACTGATTCTGTGGCGTGAGGTTCGAAATGCCGCTATACTATGCTATACTTGGATCCTTTCAACTGGAATCTGGTCTGATCTTATTCTACATGATTCACTGTCTGAGATAGAGATGTTTCCGTTGACACTTTGTTATGACTTTGCTGATTTCCTGTTGAATCTGCCCTTTCTGCCCATTCCAGCAATCCCTGCAATCCCTGGTGCACCTCGAAACCCTTCTTCTTGTCTTCGTCGACGTGATAGACGGAGACCAACTGGGGAACGAGATCTGGGGACGGGAACTACCTCGACCCTGGTGATTCGTAGCAAACGTAGTGCATGGTCATACTGAGTCATACTGAGACATATCATGATATAGTGATGCAGTGGGAAAATCCGCCGGACTCTCTTTGCCAAGCAGCCAAGTAGTCCGACTCCGGGGTCGCCAACTGCGTTGCTTCGGGCCGCAATGTTGAACAGTGACAACCCAGTTTTCCGGAAAGGCTTTGAGGATCGTTGAGGCATATGAATGCACACGATATGTACAGGTAGTACGGTAGTACAGGCTTGTGACAGGGCCAACACCGTTCATAACATTTTAATAACATTTCATGCTGCATTTCATAACAGTGTCCATACAGATGCTATCGCTGCAATCGCTGCTATGGGGCCCTTGCCTTGGCACGTCGGCAATATGTGCCATAGCAGGTGCCCCAGTACATTCCACCAGCCATGTAGAGAAGATCTCAGGCGAGAAAGGTGAGAATACAGAGGGAGATTCCAAGAGATTTCAAGAGACTCAAACGAAGTCTGAAATCAGTAGAACTCTGAGCTTCTTAAATCAGGATGATTTCACCCGCACAGCTGTTTGCACACTGGGGCAAGATGGCCATAAGGTAATGAAAGCAAAACAACTAAAGAAGGCAATGAGGACTCAAAGACATTCATCGAAACTTCAGCTCTGAAGAACTGTGAGTCTGTAAGCTAATCCATTGCCCACTAAGCATTTGGCATATCTCGGCCAGATCCAAATCTTCCCACCATTCATTGAACGTGCGAACACGCCTGAGAAGACTCCGCACCTAGTGACAGGGATGACTGCAATGACTGCGCTGTCAGTCCATTGGATTTATATAACAGCTTCAGCCCATTACAGTGGCACTCGGTATAGCTCCGAGCACAAGAGTTTGGACATAGATGACATAGATTCTCCTTGGCTGCCTTGTCTCCTTCTCAGTCTAGATAAACTTGACTGATCTGTGAACATCGCATAGGCGAAGCAGAAGTATCTAAAGGGAGGACAAAGTGGCAGAAAAGATAGCACAAAAATGCACAAAATATGGAAAAACAACTGACAAATCAATTCTGCAAGCGCTCAGCTGCGGCAGCTTTGCCTCACTTCCTTCCGTATGGGGAAAAACCGAATGGCTCCCGTTCTGACACTGGTGGATACATGTGGATATTTCATGTCCCGCTGGTCCAACTGACAGAATAAAGATCGATAGAGCATGATAGAGCCAATGTCTGAGCAGGTCTGAGAGCTCGCACCACCATCAGAGCGACCTTGGTCATGCCGCCATCCAATGCCAACTAAAATTCATGAAATGATGGATATTGACGGGTTTGTGGTGATTCCTTCTGACTTCATGAAGCAAATTGCATCCGTGTGGCTGGCTATCGTCACGACATAGAACTAGGGCCGGGCCACTCTCACTTGATCAGTCAGCTGCGGTGATCGCTGGAGGAGAGCGAACTCTATAACATGCAGCACATCTTTTCGGCTTTCTGGCAAGGGGTCGATTCCTGTAAGCTGATGTGAAATTCATTGAAAGGTGAATCCAAATGGATCCAAATGAATCCAAATTCAACATTTTTTTTCAAATTGAGAGTCACGTACAAGTTGTCGAAAGTCTCTGCTCGCCTCGTTGAGGAAGCTGAAGCGCCACCCCGCGCGAGCTTGTGGCCGTACGGGAACTGACGCCGAGACGCGTTGGGGAGCTGGGAACAGCAGCAACTCCCATGACACGTTAATTGTCAATCATACGTATTATAAGATAGTTACATCATGTTGCATATATGCATACGTATATACATATGTATTATTTTGATTGCTGTGCGACCTTCCCTTGGCCCCAGTTTTCACATTGTCAACGAACCAAATGACATCACTCTACAAAAGACTCCCTGTTGGTCATTGTCACAGTCATAGTTGGCATTAGTTAGTATTGTTATTGAAATGTGGTATTGACATTGGCATTGGGTTGACTGCGTTCCCTTGCAATTTCCTTAGCTCATAGCACTTCTCTGAGATTTATTTTTTTCTGCTGTGAAAGCACAATGCGTTTTTGAGAGACTGTGGCAAACCGTGTGGCAAACCTTGTGGCAAGCCCTCTGGCAACTTGTGGCAGCACAATACTCACAAAATCCCTGATTTGGACTCCTTCATGCCAGTCTTAGATGGAAACGGACTTCTTCAGAGATCTTAACTTGAAAACAACATGAACGGTTGAACTATTCTGAACTACTCTAAAGTGTTCTGAATTTCTTTTGCCAAGAAATGGGGCACAGCTAGAACTACCCGGAACTCCCTCACCTACCCTATTTGCCAATGCCCAGTGGGCCAGCCTGTGACCACCTTCATCTTCTATCTCTTGCTTCAGCTGACTGAGGCGGGCCTGGCAACATGAAACAAAGACAAACAAAAACTACATGATCGACATGCAAGTCACAAAACGAATCACACGACAACTAGGAACACCCGCGAACCAAAGGCAACATTGTTGGTACATTGTTCAAAAAGAATGAAATCTGTGGTGGGGCCGGCGGTCAAATACAGCTGTCATGCTGGGTGGGCGTTCAGTCTAAAGGCGTGGTGAACTGGTCGCCCCAGTTGCCGAAGGATGGGAAAACAAGGTGCATCCAAACTGGTGATTTCCACAGCCAGAATTGTCGAAATTCATCATGTGGTGGCAAAGCAAAGCTAAAGCTTGTGCCAAGTGCCTTCCATGTATGTATGTATGTATGTATGTAAGTATGTAAGTATGTAAGTATGTAAGTATGTATGTATGTATGTATGTATGTATGTATGTATGTATCTATGTATCTATGTATCTATGTATCTATGTATCTATGTATCTATGTATCTATGTATCTATGGATGTATGTATGTATGTATGTATGTATGTATGTATGTATGTATGTGTGTGTGTGTGTGTCTGGATATATATATACATATATATATATATAAATCCTGCATTCTCTGAAGTCTCAAAACCCCAAGGAAACACTGAGAAAATCTAAAAAGACATTAAGAAACATCCAAGAAAGATGTACAAAACATGTACAAAACATCATTGACTCGCCTCTGCAGACTTGAAGCCTATGGGCCTTGAAAGGCTCTTTTGCACCTGCGCCGGGTGCTCTTTCCACGCAAATATTTGCAGTGATGCAAAGTGGACTTGATGTAATTACTTGATGTACTTGATGTACTTGTGCTGATAAAACGTTAACAGCCCCATGGGTTTCCAAAGATATCTCTTCGGCTGGGCCAATTGCCCACCACATCTGTTTCCCTGCACTGCTGGTCTGATCGCGCTGTCAAAGTCAGTTGAATGCATTGAATTCCGGTGCTTCTGGTCAGAGATCAGCAAACTCCACAAGTACTCCTGGCAGGGTAAATCAAATATCTCAAATTACCAGCACTGCATTGCAGCCCCACAAGTGGTGCATGGGGCAATGTGACAAATCAATACAAATCAGCTATGACCATTTTCATCATTTTCTGCGCATCCGCTGCATCCATGGGTCTGGGCGGTGAGAAGATGTCTCGCTGTGGCAAAGACGTCCTTGGCTTGTGATGTCAACATCACCCGTGTTTGAGTGAATGCAAGACCCAAACATTTTGTGCAATAGTCCAGAAACCATGCGGACGCGCAGATCGGCTATCTGCTGCTTTTGGAGCTAGACTTTCCCTTGATATTATCACATTGAGCCACGTCAGAGCCGCCAGGCACTGTCTCAATTTTCTCTCCGAAAACAATTCAGAACAGCAAACATATCGGAACGTTGAGTTTGGTGTTCAGACTTCAGCGAAGGGCAACGACTTCGAATGATACATGGCAACTAGATTGTTATAATTAAACTGTAAACTATAATTATTAAACTATACGGTAGATACTACATTGTAACATAATTTGACATAATTTTACTAGATGCAAGTAGCAACTGTGGATCCAAAATGATCCAAGCCGACTGCTGCTGTTCTTTCTCAGAGAGTCTTAAACCGCACAGGCGAGCCAAGGTGCAACCGGTGGCAAGTCGACAGGTCACAAACGGCAGGAGGCAAAATGAAGAGGAAAACTGAGTGAAACCGAAGATAACCGAAGGTAAGCAAAAAGGGTTCTGAACTTTCGAATCATTTTTGAAAGGTGCAATTCAAACACTGCTGGATATGTTGAGCTGAGCACACTGGTGACCAGGTGTGACCAGTGTGCTGTGTATTTCACCCTCTCTTGCCGTTTGAGGTCGTCGACGAAAATAAAGACTTCACGATTGCTGAAAGCTGTCCACAGGCCCGTCCCTGCAGATGCGCCGAGGCTGCGCAAGTGAAAGACTCAAGACATTGTATGACATTGTATGACATTGTATGACATTGTATGACATTGTATGACATTGTATGACATTGTATGACATTGTATGACATTGTATGACATTGTATGACATTGTATGACATTGTATGACATTGTATGACATTGTATGACATTGTATGACATTGTGGCACGTGGATGTGAATGCACGTGGTACATGTGGCACACGATACTCTGGGCATCTCCTGGCACTTCTAGATTGTATGACAATTATATATAATTAAATGATACTTAATGACAATAGCCCTAAAAATCCTAATTTGTTTAAAACATCTAAAAACGCGGTCTTCAACTTTTGTCAACTTTGTGAGAGGTAAATTTTGTCCCCGTGAATGCCTGTGGCACTTACTCGCAAGTACAAGTGTCATGCAATGGACTTCTACATAGACATCTTCATGACTTCATGGATTTGTAGAATATGAAGGCATTCCAGGCGTTTACTCGGGTTCAAGGACAATTGGAAATTGGCTGCCAATTAACATACATTCGTATGACAAGTCTTCCACCTGCCTGAAACAAAGTCTTTGACTGCCAATGCTATGCAGTGGCCAGGCACAACAGGTGTACCGCGTATTTACAGCAAATCCAAGCGGATGAAATTCACACACCGGTGCCATTGCTGTTGGAGATTCACAAACCACTTGAACCCCTATCCGGTCTCGCCTCGAACCGGTACTGAAATTCAGCTCTAGCCCCTAAGCTGATTCTCATATGAGCCTTGCAAAAACCTGCATCAACATTCTCCGTGAAAAGTGTAACAAGCTCTATCTTTGTAATTTGACCCTCTTGTCCAACGATTCTAAGGCTTCTAAGGCTTCTAAGGCGTAAGGCGTAAGGGGATATTCAGTGATGATCAGTGACAGGCTGTACAAATGCTCAACATGCTTGACACATCTTGACACGCTCGACATGCTCCTGCTTGGACATACTTGCATCGGCTCTCCGTTGAGAGCTACATGCGCCTGAGCCCATCTGCCCCTGTAAATGAGGACCACGCTGGTCGAAGGAAGATCAGTCGTCCGCATGGACCATCCTCTTACATCTGGCAAGTCCACTGCTGGCAAGCTTTGCGTTGCTTTGCATCTAATTGTTGCATCTCAATGTTTCTTGAAAACGCGAGAAATCCATGCAATGTGCGAGTTACACATGCCCCTACGGCAGTGCAAGGCATTGGTAGATTAGAGTAACCTTTCCTATACAGCAAACAAAATCAAGACATGACACCAGCAATGTATTCACATGGTATCATACAATATCATATATATAGTAACTATCATATAGTCTAAGTATGTCTAAGTGCATAGTCTATCATAGACTACGACTCGGCGACAGAGTCTACGTGTTTCTTTTCGGAAGGTTCTGCCTTCACCTGCGCCACTGGCTGCAAAAATGACAGTGACATGAAGGGGTCGACTCCGTTGACTCCGTTGACTCCGTTGACTCCGTTGACTCCGTTGACTCCGTTGACTCCGTTGACGGAAAATGTTTCGGTTGACCGTGTTGAACAACAGTTGACCGAGTTTGCTGCCATGCTTCGAAAACTTTTCGGACAAGCAATGCTTCGGCCATGCTTCGGCCATGCTTGGAAACATTTGGAAACTAGGCTTCAACGAAGAGGAAACTATGCTTCAGAAACCCTACACTCTAAACCAACCCTAAACAAACCCCAATCCAACCCTAAACACAAAAAAAAACATATTCCCTACTAAACAAACCCTAAAGATCCCAGAAGCGAGCCTAGACCAAACCCAAATAGACATAAATAGACCCTAAAGCAGCCCTAATGAAGGGGGATGTATCTTAATAATGACTTGGAGGTGACTGATTGTTGGTTTCAGAAGTTTGGTTGCTGAAGCGAAACTATGTTTTGGTTGCTGAGCCGTAGTTGCTGAAGCTGGGTTTAGTCGATATGACGGGCACAGCCTGATTACAGTAGAACAACGGGTAGGTAGACAATAAACAACGTGTAAAATGTGTAAATGATTAAATGATTGTAAATGATGTTCGAATCTAAGGCAAGTACAAAAAAGGGAGCTGTTGGGGGCTCAACATGTTTGATGAATCAAGACTCAAGACCTGTAAATGGTGATCAACCTTCAGCCGACTGTACTGCTCTCAGTCACTCGTTTGATATCGTTGAGTTCTCGCTGCCAGCAGTGGAAACACAAGAGCCCAGGCGTCAGTTTTAACTTGGAAAAGTGTATGCATTATGTGCATTGAATATGAACTGGGGCTTCTGTGCACAAAATGCACATCTAGCAGGCTAGCAGCTAGCCAATCGCAGAGGTCCTTGATCCTGCCATTCTATTCATGAAAAAAGAAGCCAAGAAGCCTTAAACTTAGACTGGTCCACTCGGAATTTCGAGGTGTGGATGAGACCCATCTGAACAAGTCATACCAAGTCTATGCATCTGCAGGCTCAAGAAATTCCAACCAGCTTAATGGTTGTTCAGCCTCCAAGAAACGTGGGGCGCACCTCTCACACCTCAAGTTTCAGCAAAACTGAGCAAAGAAGCACCGAAAAAACGGAACCATCTTGACCCTCTCTGGAACCTCCCTTAGGCCTCTCTGCAAACATCTGCAAATATAACGGTTTCATTGCGACTGAAGAGTGCGATCTGCAAACCGGCTTGGAGAAAAGAGAAATCATAATGAATTAGGTGTGAAAAAGGTTGAACACAATAGTTGGCCTTGGAGGAAAGCTTGCCAACTTGCAGTGACAGGCTGAAATCAAATTATAATATCAAAGGTATCAGCAAACTCAACCAAATATCCTGGTTGTTCCTAGAAATTTTGAAAACAACCAAGAAATGCACTGTACAAGTATCATGGCATGGCAATTCTGTACGGCACCATTTCGAAGACTTTCGAAAAACTAGGATTCCTACAGTAGGTTCTTTCATGTTCTTTCCCACTTCTCGTCTTGGCTGTTATGTGTCTCAGGACAAGCACTTACAAAAAGACTGAGGCCGGCGTGAGGCCCACAGATTCCAGAGTTGGATGTGCAAAGAAAATGTTGAAGTAGGCAGATGTTGGCAGAGCCATCCAGTTTCATGTCTTGGGTTCAGTTAGAGGCAAGCACAAGCATAAAGACTAGACAAAATGACATAACATACCTGTGCAAGATTGTTCTATGCATCCATCTGCATGGCCGCAGAATAAACATTGCCAACATTGCCATACGTGGCCATACATACATATCTAGCCATTCACAGTTTGCTGCATAGTCAAGTACTCCCTGAATGACTGCAACAGCTGGCAGAATCCAGACTGAGGACCCACACGCATTACAGAGCCATGCTTCTCAATCCTCGTAGACTTCCGGCATAGCGCTCTCCAGAATTTTTGCCTGACTGTGGCCGCAAATGGCAGCAAGCTCATGCGCTCATGCTATGTCGCTATGTCGGCTTTATTGTACAGCATCACCTTGATTTCCCCGGGCAATCTCCGAGAGACGAAGCTAAGTTCCTGCTATCGTCACGGAATCAGTCACTGTTCCAGCAATTTCTTGCAGAGCTGGCTTTCTGTCCCTTGTGGCCGCTGCAATTTGCAAGCTCATGGTTTGGGATCTACACTGCCTGTACAGTGAGCAGTCTGAAATAGTTCTACAACTCTGCTGATTCAACAAAGTTTCCGTGGATGTTGGGGGGCGATTATATAGACCGAACTTTGCGATCTGCTAATCTGCCGAAACGTTCATCTCACCAAACATCTTGTCGGCTCACCAAAACTTCGCCAGCTGGTGCCATCTGCCCTCTGCGGGATGCTTTGTTGCCGGATTTGCTCTGAGACAGCAAGTCTCAAGATGTCTCAAGAATCTCTTTTGCTCTGAGTACAAAAGAAGCTGAGTACAAACGTGACAAACCAATCATCCCGCCGGCGGAAAGACATTGTGCCGTGCAGGACAGGACTTCGTTTAAATAACCTCTCAAACGGTGTATAAACATGTCATGTCACGAAGACTCCGAAAACATGCCTCTCATTCGATCTGTCGAAGACAACATGTTTGGAAACTGCTGGCCGTTGCCGTTGGCTCTTTTCTGGCGGTCTTGTTGACACCATCACCACTCCCCAGAATAGACTTGACCAGAACATCAGTGAGGGATGAAGTATGTACATCTCAGTTTATATTGTATAATGATGTGTTTCCACACTAGTTTACTGCTCTCGGCTGGTGTAGTCCCACGAGAGCCAGGTGGGCGGACGTGCGCAGCAAACCGTTTTGAAGGCAGGCAAATGTCCAAACGACGCGAAATTACATTTAGCATCGTTTAGCTTGTGTCAACTGTCAATCCTGTTTTCAAAGGTACAAACAGACAAACAGGAAATGACTTGGAAGCTCCAGGGTGCCAAATGCAGTGCAATTCGTGCAACTTGACGACGTCCAAAACAATCAAGGCCAAAACAAATTGGAATGTCCAGCCCGTCCAGCCCAGGCCTCCATCTCGTTGGACATCTGACAAGAGGTGATGCATTTCTACACTTTCTACACTTTCTACACTTTCTACACTCTCTACACTTTCTACACTTTCACGAAACAGCACTTTTTGAGTGCTTTCAGATCTTTCAGCAAAGGAGTGACAGGAGTGAAGCCTCTAAGAAAAATGTGGCATGGTTGATCCAAACAGGCTCTGATCAAAGCTGTCGGCACCAAGAAACAAACCCTCTTCGGTCTGAACTTGTCTTACGCATGTATCTCCGCCATAGCACTGTGCCCACTCCACTGCCCTTCAGTAAGAGTATCTACTGAGGTAGCAATTCACTCATCAGGGTGATCGAGGGGGAGCTACTCTTGCCTGCCGGACAAAGTTCGAAGTGTCCATGTAGGGTCCTGATTTGGTACAAAACAAAACTGGAGCACGAGGATCCATGAAACTTAGAACCAGAATGAACAAGGTATGGCTCCAAAATGATGGGCAAAAAAAGTGACACTGATACATATAGACACAAACAAACAAACACACACTCACACAGTGACTCACACACACACACAGAATGAAATTCTCCACTGTCGCTTCTGCCAAGAGCTGCTCGCGTCCTTTTTGCATCATGGGTACAACTTGTTGGGCAACTTGTTGCTGGGGCTGCATCGGCACTTGCACGAAGACCATTGGCATCTGCATCGGCACCTTGCCAACCGTCAATCATATAAGAAGAGATGGCCAAAGTGCAGGTTCAAATGACTTCATAACTGGATGGGAAGGGAGAGAATCAGCAAATTGGATCAAATTGGGACCTACATGACCTTTCGCATGCCTCAAGCAAAAGAAGCAACACTGACTTTGCCGTGACCACAACACGGTGCAACATCGTCAACCCTTCGCACCATCATCATAGGTGCTCCGTCACCGTTTTGCACGGGTGCTCCTTTCAATGGAATCCAAAGCTTTGACAGGACAAGAGCGGCTCAAAGTACTGTGTTTATTAGTGTTTATTAGTGTTTATTAATTTTATTATATTCCAAGACAATCCAAGACCTTTATACCTGTGGGAACACTCACTTCTGTAAGAATTGAAACGAGTTCACCAAATGCTTCGTCAGTCATCAGATTGTCAGGTTTTCGCCAGTGGTGTCCTTGCATCTGAGCGCCATTGATTCCTTGCAGCTGAGTACCATTAATTCCTTGCAGCTGAGTGCCATTCACCTGCATCACTCATTAATATCAATCAGCCAGGCATGAAGTTCAACCATGTCAGCTGGGCAACGCGGAAATACTTCACACACACTGGGAGGCTGTCAAACTGATTTGCTTCAAACACTAATGAGTCTAAAGAGTATCCTGGTCTGACTGAAAAGGGGTGTAATGTAGACAAGACAAAGAAGGACTGGGCAAAAACGGTAGGTGGCAGAGCATTCATCTACATTCCTAACCTTCATCTTCTATCGAATTCCATCCAATTCCTATTCAGTTAGCACATGACCGCCACAAGGACTGACATCAGCGTTCTCACGGCTGACAGCTCTCAATCGCCTGCTGCATCATCACAGGACTCTGTTGACACCTTGCCACGCTCAGGAGGAGCTCTGCCGATCCCACGTTGTGTGAATGAGACACCATAGTGACATAGTGCTGGTGCGTGGAAATGCATTCAACGGAACATAGTTTAATCTTAGTTTAATATCGTTTGTTTAACTAACTTTATCTTACGTCATCTTACGTCCTTCATCGTCCTGCAATCTTTTGAAGCGTCTAGCCATGTCTGGCCGCCGGCTTACAGCTTTGGGACAATTTCATTTTTTCATGCCAAGGTGCAACTGCATCTGCGGTAGCTGCAGTTGCCCAGCAGCCGTCACAGGCATTGCCTGCTTTCCGTTACACATATGCGGCATATGCGCAGCATGGTGAGTTGCCATTGCTTTCCGGCTTCAAGCCATCCAATCTATCCAGGCTTCCAAGCTATCTTCATGCTATCTTCCTTATCAATCCATATAGATTTTGCGGTTCAGCTCACAAAGCACTCTTTGTCTCTTTCACAAAAGCCATCTGGCACCACCTCCAGCCGTGTCCAAATTAGCCTTGCCTGGATCTCGCTCTGGATCATCGATTTGCCTCAGTGCGGCGCAGCTTCTGCAAAAGAATGGAATACTTGCTGCACGTGGAAAGCAGCGCAACTGCATAAGAAAAACCCTGGATTACGACTTCATAGGAAAAGGATGGAAAAGGCAGTTGCTGTGATCTTGGTGTTGCTTCAGTGTTGCTTTGGTGTCCCTTTGCCAGCTCGAGAGTTTGCGGATGAAGCGGATAGATGCTGGTAGCAGAAACGGATAGAAATGGTCATAGAAAATGGGGATTAAAATTCATTAGAAATGTTAAAGTCAGCTCAGGTGACCAGAATTGATGAGGAAGGGGAGTTTCTTAATTATCTTCATGATTGATGAGGAAGGAAATAGAGCTGCTGACAAAGGTTGTATGAAGAATAGACCGTCTATCTCCAGCCCCCTGATATTGAGGACCATAATTCTACAAAAAAAGAAGCAGCAAGTTGCCCGAAAGGAACGCACTATCCCCTGTGGCGTTGCGTGCACTGCTTTGGCAAATACATGCAAATACATTGATAAGTTTCAAACACCTTCTGGTACTGAAAGCGTGTTGTATTTTCCCTCAAAAATGTCGCAGAATGAAGACCTCGTCAGGTGCTCCCAGTGACATCTCGGCTTAAGTGTTTCTACTGACCCTTTGTAAACAATGCCCTATGCCTGTCCTCTAAACCACCTCTTCCTTGTTCATCACATCTCATCACATTTCATCACATTTCATCACGTTTCAACACACTTCATCACATTTCATCACACTTCATCACATCTCATCACATTTCATCGCATTTCATCGCATTTCATCACATGTCATCACATTTCATCACGTTTCAACACATTTCATGGCATTTCAACGCATTTCAACACATTTCATCACGTTTCAACACATTTCATCACATTTCATCACACTTCATTACATCTCATCACATTTCATCGCATTTCATCACATTTCATCACGTTTCAACACAATTCATCACATTTCATCACACTTCATCACATCTCATCACATTTCAACACATTTCATCACATTTCATCACAGATCATCACACTTCATCACATCTCATCACATTTCATCGCATTTCATCACATGTCATCACATTTCATCACAGTTCATCACATCTCATCACATTTCATCACATTTCATCACATCTTGTCACATTTCATCGCATTTCGTCACATTTCATCGCATTTCATCACATGTCATCACATTTCATCGCATTTCATCGCATCTCATCAGATTCCATCGCATTTCATCACATTTCATCACGTTTCAACACATTTCATCACATTTCATCACACTTCATCACATCTCATCACATTTCATCGCATTTCATCACATTTCATCACAATTCAACACATTTCATCACATTTCACCACACTTCATCACATCTCATCACATTTCATCGCATTTCATCGCATTTCATCACATTTCATCACGTTTCAACACAGTTCATCACATTTCATCACACTTCATCACATCTCTCACATTTCATCACATTTCATCACATTTCATCACATCTCATCACATTTCATCGCATTTCATCACATTTCATCACATTTCAACACAATTCATCACATTTCATCACACTTCATCACATCTCATCACATTTCATCGCATTTCATCGCATTTCATCACATTTCATCACGTTTCAACACAATTCATCACATTTCATCACATTTCATCACACTTTATCACATCTCATCACATTTCATGGCATTTCATCACATTTCATCACATCTCATCACATTTCATCGCATTTCATCACATTTCATCGCATTTCAACACAGTTCATCACATTTCATCACAGATCATCACACTTCATCACATCTCATCACATTTCATCGCATTTCATCACATGCGATCACGTTTCAACACATTTCATCACATTTCATCACGTTTCAACACATTTCATCACATTTCATCACGTTTCAACACATTTCATCACATTTCATCATATTTCCTCACAGATCATCACACTTCATCACATTTCATCACGTTTCAGCACATTTCATGGCATTTCAACGCATTTCAACACATTTCATCACGTTTCAACACATTTCATCACATTTCATCACACTTCATCACATTTCATCACATTTCATCACATCTCATCACATTTCATCGCATTTCATCACATTTCATCACGTTTCAACACATTTCATCACATTTCATCACGTTTCAACACATTTCATCACATTTCATCACAGATAATCACACTTCATCACATCTCATCACATTTCATCGCATTTCATCACATGTCATCACGTTTCAACACATTTCATCACATTTCATCACGTTTCAACACATGGCATCACATTTAATCACGTTTCAACACATTTCATCACATTTCATTACAGATCATCACACTTCATCACATTTCATCACATTTCATCGCATTTCATCACATTTTATCACATCTCATCACATTTCATCACATTTCATCACATCTCATCACATCTCATCACCTTTCATTGCATTTCATCACAATTCATCACAATTCATCACATTTCATCACGTTTCAACACATCTCATCGCATTTCATCACATCTCATCGCATCTCATCGCATTTCATCACATCTCATCACATTTCATCACATGTCATCACATTTCATCACACTTCATCACATCTCATCACATTTCATCGCATTTCATCACATGTTATCACATTTCATCGCATTTCATCACATCTCATCACATTTCATCGCGTTTCATCACATCTCGTCACGTTTCAGCACATTTCGTCACATTTCATCGCATTTCATCACATGTCATCACATTTCAACACATTTCATCACATTTCATCACGTTTCAACACATTTCATCACATTTCATCACAGATCATCACACTTCATCACATCTCATCACATTTCATCGCATTTCATCACATGTCATCACACTTCATCGCATTTCATCACATGTCATCACACTTCATCGCATTTCATCACATTTCATCACGTTTCAACACATTTCATCACATTTCATCACGTTTCATCACATCTCATCACATGTCATCACGTTTCAACACATTTCATCACATTTCATCACGTTTCAACACATTTCATCACATTTCATCACGTTTCAACACATTTCATCACGTTTCAACACCTTTCATCACATTTCATCAGGTTTCAGCACATTTCATCATTTCCTCACAGATCATCACACTTCATCACATTTCATCGCATTTCATCACATCTCATCACATTTCATCGCATTCCATCGCATTTCATCACATTTCATCATATTTCCTCACAGATCATCACACTTCATCACATTTCATCACATTTCATCGAATTTCATCGCATTTCATCACATGTCATCACATTTCATCACATTTCATCACATCTCATCACATTTCATCAGATTTCATCACATCTTGTCACATTTCATCGCATTTCGTCACATTTTATCGCATTTCATCACATGTTATCGCATTTCATCGCATTTCATCGCATCTCATCACATTCCATCGCATTTCATCACATTTCATCACGTTTCAATACATTTCATCACAATTCATCACAGATCATCACACTTCATCACATCTCACCACATTTCATCGCATTTCATCACATGTCATCACATTTCAATTCAAAATTTCAATACATCGCAATTGCATTTTCATCACATTCAATCCCATTTCTCACGATTTCACAACACATATTCAAGCATCAACACATTTCATCACGTTTCAACACATTTCATCACATTTTTCATGCAACAGATTCTCACAGAATCACACACTTCAATCACCTCTCATTCCATTTCACAAATCGCATTTCAATCACATGTTAATCACATCTATCACGTTTCATCGCACTTTCCATCACGTTTCAACTACTCTCAAAATCATCATAACATTTCATCACAGATCATCACACGTCCCATCCACAATCTCATCACATTCCAATTCCATCGCATTTCATCACATCAAAAAAACCATCACAATTTCACAAGCGCGTTTCATCACATCTCAATCACATTCATCGCAAATTTCAAATCACATCTCATCACATGTCTATCATTTCAAGTCAATCAATCAACATTTCATCGCGTTTCTACTTCACATCTCATCCCAGTTTCATCGCAGTTCATCACAAATCTCATCACAATCAACATCATCGCAATTTCATCACATTTCATCACGGTTTCAACACAGTTCAAATCACATTTCATCATCACTTCATCCAATCTCATCACATTTCAATTCAGCATCGCATTTCATCGCATTTCATCACATTTTCATCAGTCAGGATTGGTCGTCAACGTTTCAACACATTTTCATGGCATTTCAACAGCATTTCAATCAAAAACACATTTTCTCAATGCTTTCAACCATTCATCATCACATTTCATCACACTTCATCACTCTCAATCACATTTCATTTTCATCGCGCATTGCAATCAGCACACACTATCCAGACATCACATCTCATCACCTTTCATCGCATTTCATCACGTTTCAACACATCTCATCACATTTCATCACAGATCATCACACTTCATCACATCTCATCAAATTTCATCGCATTTCATCACATCTCATCACATTTCATCGCACTTCATCACATCTCATCACATTTCATCGCATTTCATCACATCTCGTCACCTTTCATCGCATTTCGTCACATTGCATCACATCTCATCACATTTCATCACATTTCATCACATCTCATCACATCTCATCACATTTCATCACATTTCATCACGTTTCATCACAGTTCATCACAATTCATCACATGTCATCACATGTCACCACAGTTCATCACAATTCATCACATGTCACCCCATCTCATCACATGTCATCACATTTCATCGCGTTCCATCACATGTCATCACATTTAATCACAATTCATCACATTTCAGCACATCTCATCACCTTTCATTGCATTTCATCACAATTCATCACATTTCATCACATTTCATCACGTTTCAACACATCTCATCGCATTTCATCACATCTCATCACATCTCATCGCATTTCATCACATCTCATCACATTTCATCGCATTTCATCACATTTCATCACGTTTCATCACATTTCATCACATTTCATCACAGATCATCACACTTCATCACATCTCATCACATTTCATCGCATTTCATCACACTTCATCACATCTCATCACGTTTCATCGCATTTCATCACGTTTCAACACATCTCATCACATTTCATCACAGATCATCACACTTCATCACATCTCATCACATTTCATCGCATTTCATCACATCTCATCACATTTCATCGCGTTTCATCACATCTCATCACATTTCATCGCATTTCATCACATCTCATCACATGTCATCTCATTTCATCACAATTCATCACATTTCATCGCGTTTCTTCACATCTCATCACAGTTCATCGCATTTCATCACATCTCATCACATTTCATCACATTTCATCACATCTGAATACAGTTCATCGCATTTCATCACATCTCATCACATTTCATCGAATTTCATAACATTTCATCACATGTCATCGCATTTCATCACAATTCATCACATTTCATCGCATTTCATCACATCTCATCACTCTTCATCGCATTTCATCACATGTCATCACATCTCATCGCATTTCATCACATCTCCTCAAATTTCATCGCGTTTCATCACATCTCATCACATTTCATCGCATTTCATCACATCTCATCACATTTCATCGCATTTCATCACATGTCATCACATCTCATCACATTTCATCGCATTTCATCACATCTCATCACTTTTCATCGCATTTCATCACATTTCATCACATTTCATCGCATTTCATCACATCTCATCACATTTCATCGCATTTCATCACATCTCATCACATGTCATCACGTTTCAACACATTTCATCACATTTCATCACGTTTCAACACATTTCATCACATGTCATCACGTTTCAACACATTTCATCACGTTTCAACACCTTTCATCACATTTCATCAGGTTTCAGCACATTTCATCATATTTCCTCACAGATCATCACACTTCATCACATTTCATCGCATTTCATCACATCTCATCACATTTCATCGCATTCCATCGCATTTCATCACATTTCATCACGTTTCAACACACTTCATCACATCTCATCACATTTCATCGCATTTCATCACATCTCATCACATTTCATCGCATTTCATCACATGTCATCACATTTCATCACATTTGCTCCAATTTGCTCTGGTCCGCTTTGGACCCACCAGAGATTTTTTCACGTTTGAAGGTGTCTGAAGGAGTCTGAAGGCCGAGCCCATCATCATAGCACCACGATTCATCGCGACCTATGGCGGGCAATCTTTCGACTCACTGTCGGGTGACCATAGCAAGACAGTCCAACAGTGCGTGCTTTAGTCTTTTAGTCTTTTCTTTGGCGCGTAACACGAGCAAAACAGAAGTCAAGCCTCTGCTAGTGAACCTTCAAATCAAGATAATCAAGATATTTTACACAAGTGCAACAGAATGTTTTACACATTGCATCCTGCTGCAACATCAAAAGGTCCAAACTCACAGATTCGCGAGTTTGAACCATTTCAAGGTGAAACACGTCCACAGCTTTGGGGCTGACATATACTGACATCCTCACCAAATGACTGAGTAAAGGAGACACCAAAAAAAAACTGCAGGGCATGGTCAAGCATTGGCTCGAAACATCATCAATCTGCAGAATATCTTGCGCTCAAGCGTGTGTCAATACTGAGCATGGGTAGTATCATGTGTGTCGGTGTCACAACAAATCTTGCCCTGACAGTATTTTTAGACACCTTATTGTTCTCTTCAAGATGCACAGCACTGCTTGGAATGGACGAATGCAGGGTTTGTTTGTCGAAAATTCAGAGAATTCTCTGAATGGAAACCCCCTCTCTTTCCGAATTCACAACAACCAGCGTCTCCTATAGGTTTCCTATTTTTGAAACTTCCGCTACCGCCTTGTGCGGTACTACTGGTATATATATTTATATACGTATATAATATATCTATCTTGTTTGACCAAGGCACCTGTCCATTGTAGACGGAACAAAGTCTCAAATCATTTGCAAGTTCTGGATAATTAAGCAAGGATCACTCACTGCTCTCTACGCCGAACCAGTGCTGCTCGAAAAGAAAAATCCGACGGGTGTGAATGTCCTTCGGTTCCGTGTGATGTCTATCCCACTCTGCAAAGCGACTTTTTTGAAAGACTATGAAAGACTTCAAAAGCAAGACAAACAACAAATATGAAATACCAGTAGTACCGCACAAGGCGGTGGCGGAAGTTTCAAAAATAGGAAACCTATAGGAGAAGTTGGTTGTTGTGAATCAGGGATGGCAGAGCGAAGCCACTGATTGACCGAAAGGTGGT